CAGGAAACAGAAGCCCTCGTGCTGCGCCCCTCCTTTTGCGCCTCCGACTCCGGGCGAGCCCACACGCATCGCGAGCCCTCGTGCTGCCCCATTCTTGTTTCGGCTCCGAAATCCGTGCGAGTCCGAATATATCAATTGACTCAGCCTGCTCCATCGGGTGCGATCATACCAGCACTAATGCACCGGATCCCATCAGAACTCCGCAGTTAAGCGTGCTTGGGCGAGAGGAGTACTAGGATGGGTGCCCTCCTGGGAAGTCGTCGAGTTGCACCCCACTTTTTGCGCGTCCGAAACCCGTGCGAGTCCCAAAATATCGATTGACTCAGGAAACAGAAGCCCTCGTGCTGCGCCCCTCCTTTTGCGCCTCCGACTCCGGGCGAGCCCACACGCATCGCGAGCCCTCGTGCTGCCCCATTCTTGTTTCGGCTCCGAAATCCGTGCGAGTCCGAATATATCAATTGACTCAGCCTGCTCCATCGGGTGCGATCATACCAGCAATAATGCACCGGATCCCATCAGAACTCCGCAGTTAAGCGTGCTTGGGCGAGAGGAGTACTAGGATGGGTGCCCTCCTGGGAAGTCGTCGAGTTGCACCCCACTTTTTGCGCGTCCGAAACCCGTGCGAGTCCCAAAATATCGATTGACTCAGGAAACAGAAGCCCTCGTGCTGCGCCCCTCCTTTTGCGCCTCCGACTCCGGGCGAGCCCACACGCATCGCGAGCCCTCGTGCTGCCCCATTCTTGTTTCGGCTCCGAAATCCGTGCGAGTCCGAATATATCAATTGACTCAGCCTGCTCCATCGGGTGCGATCATACCAGCACTAATGCACCGGATCCCATCAGAACTCCGCAGTTAAGCGTGCTTGGGCGAGAGGAGTACTAGGATGGGTGCCCTCCTGGGAAGTCGTCGAGTTGCACCCCACTTTTTGCGCGTCCGAAACCCGTGCGAGTCCCAAAATATCGATTGACTCAGGAAACAGAAGCCCTCGTGCTGCGCCCCTCCTTTTGCGCCTCCGACTCCGGGCGAGCCCACACGCATCGCGAGCCCTCGTGCTGCCCCATTCTTGTTTCGGCTCCGAAATCCGTGCGAGTCCGAATATATCAATTGACTCAGCCTGCTCCATCGGGTGCGATCATACCAGCACTAATGCACCGGATCCCATCAGAACTCCGCAGTTAAGCGTGCTTGGGCGAGAGGAGTACTAGGATGGGTGCCCTCCTGGGAAGTCGTCGAGTTGCACCCCACTTTTTGCGCGTCCGAAACCCGTGCGAGTCCCAAAATATCGATTGACTCAGGAAACAGAAGCCCTCGTGCTGCGCCCCTCCTTTTGCGCCTCCGACTCCGGGCGAGCCCACACGCATCGCGAGCCCTCGTGCTGCCCCATTCTTGTTTCGGCTCCGAAATCCGTGCGAGTCCGAATATATCAATTGACTCAGCCTGCTCCATCGGGTGCGATCATACCAGCACTAATGCACCGGATCCCATCAGAACTCCGCAGTTAAGCGTGCTTGGGCGAGAGGAGTACTAGGATGGGTGCCCTCCTGGGAAGTCGTCGAGTTGCACCCCACTTTTTGCGCGTCCGAAACCCGTGCGAGTCCCAAAATATCGATTGACTCAGGAAACAGAAGCCCTCGTGCTGCGCCCCTCCTTTTGCGCCTCCGACTCCGGGCGAGCCCACACGCATCGCGAGCCCTCGTGCTGCCCCATTCTTGTTTCGGCTCCGAAATCCGTGCGAGTCCGAATATATCAATTGACTCAGCCTGCTCCATCGGGTGCGATCATACCAGCACTAATGCACCGGATCCCATCAGAACTCCGCAGTTAAGCGTGCTTGGGCGAGAGGAGTACTAGGATGGGTGCCCTCCTGGGAAGTCGTCGAGTTGCACCCCACTTTTTGCGCGTCCGAAACCCGTGCGAGTCCCAAAATATCGATTGACTCAGGAAACAGAAGCCCTCGTGCTGCGCCCCTCCTTTTGCGCCTCCGACTCCGGGCGAGCCCACACGCATCGCGAGCCCTCGTGCTGCCCCATTCTTGTTTCGGCTCCGAAATCCGTGCGAGTCCGAATATATCAATTGACTCAGCCTGCTCCATCGGGTGCGATCATACCAGCACTAATGCACCGGATCCCATCAGAACTCCGCAGTTAAGCGTGCTTGGGCGAGAGGAGTACTAGGATGGGTGCCCTCCTGGGAAGTCGTCGAGTTGCACCCCACTTTTTGCGCGTCCGAAACCCGTGCGAGTCCCAAAATATCGATTGACTCAGGAAACAGAAGCCCTCGTGCTGCGCCCCTCCTTTTGCGCCTCCGACTCCGGGCGAGCCCACACGCATCGCGAGCCCTCGTGCTGCCCCATTCTTGTTTCGGCTCCGAAATCCGTGCGAGTCCGAATATATCAATTGACTCAGCCTGCTCCATCGGGTGCGATCATACCAGCACTAATGCACCGGATCCCATCAGAACTCCGCAGTTAAGCGTGCTTGGGCGAGAGGAGTACTAGGATGGGTGCCCTCCTGGGAAGTCGTCGAGTTGCACCCCACTTTTTGCGCGTCCGAAACCCGTGCGAGTCCCAAAATATCGATTGACTCAGGAAACAGAAGCCCTCGTGCTGCGCCCCTCCTTTTGCGCCTCCGACTCCGGGCGAGCCCACACGCATCGCGAGCCCTCGTGCTGCCCCATTCTTGTTTCGGCTCCGAAATCCGTGCGAGTCCGAATATATCAATTGACTCAGCCTGCTCCATCGGGTGCGATCATACCAGCACTAATGCACCGGATCCCATCAGAACTCCGCAGTTAAGCGTGCTTGGGCGAGAGGAGTACTAGGATGGGTGCCCTCCTGGGAAGTCGTCGAGTTGCACCCCACTTTTTGCGCGTCCGAAACCCGTGCGAGTCCCAAAATATCGATTGACTCAGGAAACAGAAGCCCTCGTGCTGCGCCCCTCCTTTTGCGCCTCCGACTCCGGGCGAGCCCACACGCATCGCGAGCCCTCGTGCTGCCCCATTCTTGTTTCGGCTCCGAAATCCGTGCGAGTCCGAATATATCAATTGACTCAGCCTGCTCCATCGGGTGCGATCATACCAGCACTAATGCACCGGATCCCATCAGAACTCCGCAGTTAAGCGTGCTTGGGCGAGAGGAGTACTAGGATGGGTGCCCTCCTGGGAAGTCGTCGAGTTGCACCCCACTTTTTGCGCGTCCGAAACCCGTGCGAGTCCCAAAATATCGATTGACTCAGGAAACAGAAGCCCTCGTGCTGCGCCCCTCCTTTTGCGCCTCCGACTCCGGGCGAGCCCACACGCATCGCGAGCCCTCGTGCTGCCCCATTCTTGTTTCGGCTCCGAAATCCGTGCGAGTCCGAATATATCAATTGACTCAGCCTGCTCCATCGGGTGCGATCATACCAGCACTAATGCACCGGATCCCATCAGAACTCCGCAGTTAAGCGTGCTTGGGCGAGAGGAGTACTAGGATGGGTGCCCTCCTGGGAAGTCGTCGAGTTGCACCCCACTTTTTGCGCGTCCGAAACCCGTGCGAGTCCCAAAATATCGATTGACTCAGGAAACAGAAGCCCTCGTGCTGCGCCCCTCCTTTTGCGCCTCCGACTCCGGGCGAGCCCACACGCATCGCGAGCCCTCGTGCTGCCCCATTCTTGTTTCGGCTCCGAAATCCGTGCGAGTCCGAATATATCAATTGACTCAGCCTGCTCCATCGGGTGCGATCATACCAGCACTAATGCACCGGATCCCATCAGAACTCCGCAGTTAAGCGTGCTTGGGCGAGAGGAGTACTAGGATGGGTGCCCTCCTGGGAAGTCGTCGAGTTGCACCCCACTTTTTGCGCGTCCGAAACCCGTGCGAGTCCCAAAATATCGATTGACTCAGGAAACAGAAGCCCTCGTGCTGCGCCCCTCCTTTTGCGCCTCCGACTCCGGGCGAGCCCACACGCATCGCGAGCCCTCGTGCTGCCCCATTCTTGTTTCGGCTCCGAAATCCGTGCGAGTCCGAATATATCAATTGACTCAGCCTGCTCCATCGGGTGCGATCATACCAGCACTAATGCACCGGATCCCATCAGAACTCCGCAGTTAAGCGTGCTTGGGCGAGAGGAGTACTAGGATGGGTGCCCTCCTGGGAAGTCGTCGAGTTGCACCCCACTTTTTGCGCGTCCGAAACCCGTGCGAGTCCCAAAATATCGATTGACTCAGGAAACAGAAGCCCTCGTGCTGCGCCCCTCCTTTTGCGCCTCCGACTCCGGGCGAGCCCACACGCATCGCGAGCCCTCGTGCTGCCCCATTCTTGTTTCGGCTCCGAAATCCGTGCGAGTCCGAATATATCAATTGACTCAGCCTGCTCCATCGGGTGCGATCATACCAGCACTAATGCACCGGATCCCATCAGAACTCCGCAGTTAAGCGTGCTTGGGCGAGAGGAGTACTAGGATGGGTGCCCTCCTGGGAAGTCGTCGAGTTGCACCCCACTTTTTGCGCGTCCGAAACCCGTGCGAGTCCCAAAATATCGATTGACTCAGGAAACAGAAGCCCTCGTGCTGCGCCCCTCCTTTTGCGCCTCCGACTCCGGGCGAGCCCACACGCATCGCGAGCCCTCGTGCTGCCCCATTCTTGTTTCGGCTCCGAAATCCGTGCGAGTCCGAATATATCAATTGACTCAGCCTGCTCCATCGGGTGCGATCATACCAGCACTAATGCACCGGATCCCATCAGAACTCCGCAGTTAAGCGTGCTTGGGCGAGAGGAGTACTAGGATGGGTGCCCTCCTGGGAAGTCGTCGAGTTGCACCCCACTTTTTGCGCGTCCGAAACCCGTGCGAGTCCCAAAATATCGATTGACTCAGGAAACAGAAGCCCTCGTGCTGCGCCCCTCCTTTTGCGCCTCCGACTCCGGGCGAGCCCACACGCATCGCGAGCCCTCGTGCTGCCCCATTCTTGTTTCGGCTCCGAAATCCGTGCGAGTCCGAATATATCAATTGACTCAGCCTGCTCCATCGGGTGCGATCATACCAGCACTAATGCACCGGATCCCATCAGAACTCCGCAGTTAAGCGTGCTTGGGCGAGAGGGTAGTACTAGGATGGGTGCCCTCCTGGGAAGTCGTCGAGTTGCACCCCACTTTTTGCGCGTCCGAAACCCGTGCGAGTCCCAAAATATCGATTGACTCAGGAAACAGAAGCCCTCGTGCTGCGCCCCTCCTTTTGCGCCTCCGACTCCGGGCGAGCCCACACGCATCGCGAGCCCTCGTGCTGCCCCATTCTTGTTTCGGCTCCGAAATCCGTGCGAGTCCGAATATATCAATTGACTCAGCCTGCTCCATCGGGTGCGATCATACCAGCACTAATGCACCGGATCCCATCAGAACTCCGCAGTTAAGCGTGCTTGGGCGAGAGGAGTACTAGGATGGGTGCCCTCCTGGGAAGTCGTCGAGTTGCACCCCACTTTTTGCGCGTCCGAAACCCGTGCGAGTCCCAAAATATCGATTGACTCAGGAAACAGAAGCCCTCGTGCTGCGCCCCTCCTTTTGCGCCTCCGACTCCGGGCGAGCCCACACGCATCGCGAGCCCTCGTGCTGCCCCATTCTTGTTTCGGCTCCGAAATCCGTGCGAGTCCGAATATATCAATTGACTCAGCCTGCTCCATCGGGTGCGATCATACCAGCACTAATGCACCGGATCCCATCAGAACTCCGCAGTTAACGCGTGCTTGGGCGAGAGGAGTACTAGGATGGGTGCCCTCCTGGGAAGTCGTCGAGTTGCACCCCACTTTTTGCGCGTCCGAAACCCGTGCGAGTCCCAAAATATCGATTGACTCAGGAAACAGAAGCCCTCGTGCTGCGCCCCCCTTTTGCGCCTCCGACTCCGGGCGAGCCCACACGCATCGCGAGCCCTCGTGCTGCCCCATTCTTGTTTCGGCTCCGAAATCCGTGCGAGTCCGAATATATCAATGACTCAGCCTGCTCCATCGGGTGCGATCATACCAGCACTAATGCACCGGATCCCATCAGAACTCCGCAGTTAAGCGTGCTTGGGCGAGAGGAGTACTAGGATGGGTGCCCTCCTGGGAAGTCGTCAGTTGCACCCCACTTTTTGCGCGTCCGAAACCCGTGCGAGTCCCAAAATATCGATTGACTCAGGAAACAGAAGCCCTGTGCTGCGCCCCTCCTTTTGCGCCTCCGACTCCGGGGAGCCCACACGCATCGCGAGCCCTCGTGCTGCCCCATTCTTGTTTCGGCTCCGAAATCCGTGCGAGTCCGAATATATCAATTGACTCAGCCTGCTCCATCGGGTGCGATCATACCAGCACTAATGCACCGGATCCCATCAGAACTCCGCAGTTAAGCGTGCTTGGGCGAGAGGAGTACTAGGATGGGTGCCCTCTGGGAAGTCGTCGAGTTGCACCCCACTTTTTGCGCGTCCGAAACCCGTGCGAGTCCCAAAATATCGATTGACTCAGGAAACAGAAGCCCTCGTGCTGCGCCCCTCCTTTTGCGCCTCCGACTCCGGCGAGCCCACACGCATCGCGAGCCCTCGTGCTGCCCCCATCTTGTTTCGGCTCCGAAATCCGTGCGAGTCCGAATATATATCAATTGACTCAGCCTGCTCCATCGGGTGCGATCATACCAGCACTAATGCACCGGATCCCATCAGAACTCCGCAGTTAAGCGTGCTTGGGCGAGAGGAGTACTAGGATGGGTGCCCTCCTGGGAAGTCGTCGAGTTGCACCCCACTTTTTGCGCGTCCGAAACCCGTGCGAGTCCCAAAATATCGATTGACTCAGGAAACAGAAGCCCTCGTGCTGCGCCCCTCCTTTGCGCCTCCGACTCCGGGCGAGCCCACACGCATCGCGAGCCCTCGTGCTGCCCCATTCTTTTGTTTCGGCTCCGAAATCCGTGCGAGTCCGAATATATCAATTGACTCAGCCTGCTCCATCGGGTGCGATCATACCAGCACTAATGCACCGGATCCATCAGAACTCCGCAGTTAAGCGTGCTTGGGCGAGGGAGAGGAGTACTAGGATGGGTGCCCTCCTGGGAAGTCGTCGAGTTGCACCCCACTTTTTGCGCGTCCGGAAACCCGTGCGAGTCCCAAAATATCGATTGACTCAGGAAACAGAAGCCCTCGTGCTGCGCCCCTCCTTTTGCGCCTCCGACTCGGGCGAGCCCACACGCATCGCGCGCCCTCGTGCTGCCCCATTCTGTTTCGGCTCCGAAATCCGTGCGAGTCCGAATATATCAATTGACTCAGCCTGCTCCATCGGGTGCGATCATACCAGCACTTAATGCACGGATCCATCAGAACTCCGCAGTTAAGCGTGCTTGGGCGAGAGGAGTACTGGATGGGTGCCCTCCTGGGAAGTCGTCGAGTTGCACCCCCACTTTTTGCGCGTCCGAAACCCCGTGCGAGTCCCCAAA